AACTAATGTTTGTATTTCTATTTTTATATTTAACTGGTAATAACTAACATGTATGGTATTTTTTTACTAAAAAGTAAAATGTTAGAGTTATATAATGTAGGTACAGTCGAATTATAAAAAAATAATTTAACTATTAGTTATAATCATTGTGAAATAATTTTACTTTAAAACTGTTATTAAGTATTTAATTTAAACTTATAGTTTTGGTGGAAAGTTGAAACAAAATCGTTTCCCTGAAAATGAAAGTTGTGATTTTCGAGTATGTTATTATGACACGATGTTTGCAATCAACATTATCGACTGTCGTTTGTGGTATTGTGGTACATGGTCATTATTACTTTGTTGTAAAAGTCATGTGAATGAATTTTGGATGTGCTTAAAATTATTATTTAATTAATTTCTCGATACTTTCCATGAAATGTACTTTGATCATAAAAAAGGCAGTACCTATATTCTTCATTATATTATATAATATTATGCTTTTGTGTATACTTGTTTGAAAAGTTTAATATTCTTTCATTTCTTTTCTAGACTTCTACCTATACTTTTCCTAAGCTTTGAGATAGAAAGGGCCATATTTTTCTAAAATATATAGAAGGGAGAGACATGGCTTAAAAATGACGCAACGTTTTATTTTTCGTAGTCATTTTGGTTTAACTCGTTCTTTATATTGTCACTCAGCTTCTTATATGACAAAAATTTTAATTCTGACCAGGTTTTTATATTAGTTTTCATGCGTTGACATTTTTATTAAACATAATTTTAACCTATGCCTACTATCTCCTTTATCGTCAAAAAAAAAAAAAAATGTTTCACAAGGAGGATAATTTTAAATATTATATAATACATTGTTGAGGAACCAAATTAACTTTTTACTAGATGAACACTCGCACTCTATTTCAGCATCGGCGCAATGGCAATATGTGCAAACTATCATGTGCCCACATCACAGACGAAAAAATGAAAAAAATGTGTATAATATCAATGTGTGAGCATTAATACGCAAGCACGTTTTTGTCGTTCTAATTACGTCCATAATTAATAGGGGAAAAATAGATGCATTATTTGAAAGGTATTTTCGAGTAGAGTTGGACGAAAATATAATTTGTTTTTGCATAATATGTTGTCCTCAAAAAAGGTAAATTATGAAAATGGGAATATACCAGTGGCTCTGCGCACCTGTTCAGTAAATAAAATAAATTTTAAAAATTTTCCTGGGCGAAGTCGGTACGGTCGGTTAGTACGAATTATAAACACCAGTAACCTAATCAATTTATATAATAAAAGAAGATAAAAGTTAATTATTGTTTGTCATTTAAATGTACGTCAAATGGTAATGTATGTTTGTTTGTAGCTTATCTGCTTATAGACTCAATAAATATTATAAATACTATAAAAAATACCCGTTTTTCCAATATATAACACTCATACAAAAAAAAAAGAGAAGAAGCACACAAACAGCGATACTAAACTGTGTGTTTAATAAGAATTTCAATATATTAACAACAAAAATATTCAATTTTCGTGAGCCAAAATGAAATTCATATATGCGTCACCCTATGGTAACTTCATAGGATTAAAAAACGAAACTATAAACTCTCCAAGAGTCTCAAAGAATGTCTGTACAATATTAGGTGCTAATTTGTTGAGTAGTTTTTTAGTCTAAAAGCCCCATACAAACATACATTTACTTTTATAAATATATTATATTATATATATTTTAATCTTTAAAATAATGGAACTATGAAAACTGGTTCTATGTTAACTTTTTTTCATAACATAATTTAAGATATATTTTTCTACCTTGTGAAAATGTTGTTTGTAACTTAGCTTACTTCGTAATTTCTGTAGAGAGAACATCATACATTTGTTTTAAAGGCGTTTTAAATAGGCAATTTTAATAAAAACGAATTCAAATACAATCAAAATTTGATACAAGTGTTATGAGTTTACAAATTAATTATTTTCAATAAATTTGTGAAAAAAAAGAAAAAAACACTTACTTATATCATAGATAAAATCGTTTCATATTTTATGACTAACGTTTCATCATTGGTCTTATTATACATTTGTACCAGCATTGATGATGTTATCCTTTACACTCACAGTTTACACTCAAATTCACTAGGCAATGTGCCCATAATATTATACGTATTACCTGCCATTGAAAAACCGTTATTGTAAACATTTCATGATAGCGTAACAAAGAAAAGTATTAAATAAACGGGATCATTTGAGCTCATTTGAAAATTTAAGTACTAATGCATATTGAAATATCATTTAATTTGTTAAATTGTTCCAACATTCGTGTTCAAATGTCTGTAGGTATATAAAAGTGTACAACACGACCATAAAGCGATATCATAAATTTAACACATAGGTAGGGCATTTGTTTTGAAATTTAATCGGAGGTGAATTCGTTTTATATTATTTGTTCTATTTATTATTTTATATTATTTAGCGTAATGCAGCCATATGCGTTTTTGGTATTTTATTCTTGCTGATCTTGATGGCTTAGTTTTTAATTATTCACAATTTTTAAATCCCATACAATTTAGTAAATAATAGGTGTACTACTATGCAGAGATATTAATTCTTTGCATCGTACATTTTTATATTAATAAAATCTCCTAGGACCACGGCCCTAAAAATATTCATAATATAAAAATGTGTTTTATGCGAATTACAATTTTTGTCTACCGTACCTTTGTTATTATATCAGAAAACTTTGTATCAATGAAATTAATATAAAAGTGCTTAAACAGAATTGCTGGTAAACGGTTAATGGGGTTTATTGAAAAACTTTCGGTCGTCCCGAATTTCGATACACAGTAATATAAATCCGTTTAGGAAGAATTGCGTTGACCATAAAGTTAGATTTAAGTTTTCGATGTCCAAATTTGTTTCGTCATTTGGCGAAAATGGAAAAAAAAAGAAGAATAAATGTAATGGTACCTATAACCTTTGATTATTCGTTTGCTGTTGAAAAATATTGAACGAGTTTTTAAAATGTTGGCTTTGTAGTTTTATTAAATCCGCAATAAAAATTCTGAGAACAAGTTGAAAGCACAATAATTTGTATACACTATATACTTGTAAATGAATTTTGGAATTCAAATACTTTAGATTCAAAATAATATTTATTTGATTTATTGTTATATGCAAATAATTGGTATTTCTTTGATAGCAAGGAAAAACATAATAATAATATAATATTAATATTCATTATTCACTGGTATGTCGAAAAACAGATTGCAAGTGTGCGAATCAAAGAGTACCTATATTAACAGGTTAACCAACACGGTGTTTTTCAAGTTATTCAAATCTCATTTTGTGACTCGATTTTGGGTCTCTCTGAAATCGATTTCTAGCGAGATCACAATAATCAGTATTTTCTCGTCAGATTTGAAATTTACAGTGTTGCCACTTTCAGTAGACATCATAAGCTTTAAAAATATCGCTGTTACTTTTTTTATCAATATGATCGGCAGAACCTTAGTAAGAACTGTATTAAGACGTAAACCTATCAAAAAAAATGCTGTAGAGTTATCACTACCGAAAAAGAGTATCATGGTGGTTAACCTGTTTTAGATACGTATACCTAGAAGTGTTCGGTGAGAAACTAAATTTAAATTACTAAATTAAAAATCACTTAAAAACCGACAGTCGACAGAGTCAACCAAGTACCAACATCGATTCTACAATTCTATATCGATATTGAGACTTACGGCTACAACGTCCAAATATTTTTATTATATAGATTCGTAGTGTGCTGCGGAATTACAGCCAACCTCAGAATTCAAATTTACAGCAGCACACTTTTTTCGTGTACGTTAATAATATTATTGAACCTGTGGCCTCCAAGAGAAGAGGATGGGGGTAAGGGTTTTATAAACACTTTTTGTTAGGTAATATACAATAATTAATATTACTAATCTAACTCATAAATCGTTATACACTGATTGTGTAATCAATTAAAAAAATGTATATTGTTTTTGTAACGCCCTACTTTAAAAAATGAAAGAGTTATGTATAAGAAACGTGATATATAAAAAGTTGGGTAATGCGAATTTAATTTATATAAAAATATTTAATCTAAAGACAGTAACGTAATTGAGTTACTTTTCAAAAGTAATTTACCCAACACTGTTAAATGTTTCACATTATATGGTGTTTTTAGCAAGCTTATTGAGCATCACTTGAATATAACCAGGATAATGTCTAGATATAATTATTTCGATTACTTCTGTTTCGACAACTCTCGGTGAATCCAAATGTCGTACATTTCGTATACATTTCCCGAAATATGTTCTAGTTGCACGGAACTGGCTACATTTGTTTTTAATTTGATATTTCATGACCAGTTATTAGTTCAACTAGAGTTAATTTGTTTTCTTTTGTACTTGTTTATTGGTGAAATACTTATCCATCCAAGATATGTTTTTTAATTACCATCTTTGTATTAGATTTTAATTTATCATGTCTGGTGAATTATCTTTCATTTTATATACTTTTGTTGATAGTTGCTCTAATCTGATCATAATATGTTGTACCCATGGTTGTATTCTGTGGTCCTGATTTGGCCCTTGAAATTATCTGTTGGTTTGTTTTTTCTTTGGCACTGAAAAAAAAACAAAGTTTTGGATTGTGTTATCATATAGGTAGTATTGTACAATATAGGTAGTTATATATATAATAGTTTAAAGTTTAAACCTATGACGGGTTAAAATGTGTACAAAGTAAAAAAACTGAAGCTAGTGAAATTTCAAAAAAACCAATTTTAACTAGATCGTGTAAATATATACGGGTACCAAAAACCGTATTTCATTTAAATTTTAAATTATTAAAAAATTAAAGGGTTTGAAAAATAGTTTCTATAACATCATGTTTAAAATTTAAAAATATGTATATATTTAGATAATATATTATGACATTCGTGTACGGTATTAAAATTCCCAATAAAACTGTTGTAATAAAAATTACGTTTTATTATTTTCCAGGTTTCCACGTTGATGGACTAATTAAAATCCCGATAGTCTGTGATGACAGGTTGGTCATCAGATCGTAGTCTATAATGCAGATTCCATGTTGGAGTGCGGCTATATGCCACTGACGAGAAAAGTATTAGCTCAAATATGGATGCATTGATTTGGGTGTTGGTGGGCGCAGTGGTATTTACGGAGTGTGTGACATCCACTGCAGTGCCTGGCGTGGTGCGGTTTGCGGTCATAGCTCCGTTGAAGGCATCCAAGAACGAAGAGACGTTGGGTGCCATTTTGCCATCTGTTGACTTGGCGGCACAAGCAATCGCTCAACCCAAAGGATCGTTGCCAGGATGGAAGATATTAATCGAAAACAGGAATGGAAACTGTTCATCTACCGAAGGACCACTGGCAGCATTTGATTTACACACTAACAGTGGTAAGTGAATTTTTTATCAATATTATTCAGTTATTAATTATTAATTTTAATCCACTTACTTGCTCTCGTCTCTAATGTAGGTATACTATTAATTTAATTATTATGAAGTACATGTTTAAAAACAACAAGTTAAGATATTAGATAGTCATATATAATTACAAAAAAACATATTCTTACGTGTATGTTTTTAACGGTTTTTAACCATTTAAAAATAAATGAATGGATAGATACCTATACCCGGTGGGAAGGGTACATAAACAAAGTATTAATAAATAATACAATGGTGTCAACTAATAAGAGAAAGAAACCAATATATTAGTGATAAAGTCAACGTTCTAAAATATAAATGTATAAACAATTAAAAAAAAAATACGCGGCTGGCACTTATGGCCTTATGGGTTTTTAATTCCCAAAGAGAATATTTTGAAATAATTGATGGATACCAATTCTTGGTAATAGTTAAATCACTAAAATGTACAGCCATCGATTTTTAAATTTTTATATCTGCTTCATTAAAGAGGTTTCTAAGTAATTTACTTATCCATTTTCGTCTAATTACGTTTGAAAAAAATCAATTTTGTTATTATACCTACATCCCATTGCAGTAACATTCAAATTATAAATACATAATACAAATAAGTAAAGTTTTGTCATATGTGAATTATTTATTAATTAATCAGCGAAATCTGCTTATAAACAATTAGGTAGGTACAAGTTTGAAACATAAAGTATTTTACTAAAAGAAACTTTTAGTATTGTACTTTAAATAATTTATACTGTTTGCAGTATAATATTAATATTATATTGGAGTGACTATAAAATATTTCTGGAATTTCAAAAAAAAAAAAAAACATTTTGATTTTATAAATTATTAAATTAATACACTGTACTTAGTTTGGTTGTTTCTGGTCGACTGACAGGGTTCAAAATGCATTAAGTTTTTGGCTGTGCATGCGGAAAAAATAAACTTTTTCGTTGTTTAACTAAACCTCGATCATCAATCTTGTCGAAAAATATTTTTTTGTTTTATTTAATGTACTCATTGATTTTCTACTATATTTTTTTATTTTTGAACAATTATAATACATTTTGTGCTTAAAAAAAAAAAATAATAATAATAATAAATTAATGATTGTCTGGCAAGTGTTGTAGACACATATATATATATTCACTAAAACATAATTATTTGTAAAAAACACAAAACTATTCATTGCATCTCCAAAACGCTATTTTATTTTAAACTTTTTGCTTGATTTATCAACAATTTTCTTGATGCATTCACTAATTTGAATTAAATGTGAACTATTCTACGTCATATAATAAATCTAATACGTAGAAGTTTTTTTTCATGTTGAAATCAAAAATAAGTTGTAATATTGTGAGAGTTGCATTTTGAAATGGTTTATCAATTTTATTTTTTTTTAAAGCAGGAACCAAAGTTTATAATTTTTTCGAATCACTTATAAAAAATTATTCATATCATCAAAATTATAAATATTATTTGATTTGGAAGAAATCCATTAATTATTAGATCATATACATCCCCGAACTTACATTCCCGAGTCTGTTTATAATTTTTAGTTGTATTGTATATGTATATCATGATAATTTGTCTATTAGTTTATTATATTATGATTATCTAACTATAATATTATTATATAGACATTATTATAATATTATGATTTAAATTGTATCCATACCGTGTGTAAAATTTGTAGATAAAATAACCTTTTTAGCGAAGTTTTTTTTGTTTTTTAAACCTATATTGTTGTCATAAAATTCTATTTATAAACTTACTTTAAATGTTCAAAAGTTAAAATCCAGCCTTTGTGGCTAAGCCTATTTTTAGATTTTTAGTACCTAATGCCGACAAGTGAGCGTGACTGTGTGAGAATTGTGTTCATATTGAGTTAATTATCAAACATTTTAATTCCCTTTGACATAATGAAGTGACAGTTTAAGCTAATTAATCTATGGAATTTTATCAACTTATAACTTTTAACATCAATATTTTGTGATGATATCTTGGTGTGAATTTTCACCGTCAAACGTAGAATAATAAAACTATCGTTCTAAAATATAATTCCTTATCCTGAATATATGGTTTTTTTTGCGTTATCATTATTTCAATATTTTATACTTTAAAAACTCGTACTGTTTAATTACAGGTACCTAATCTCAACGATAATTCATCAGAGTGAGATTTTGGAATCATATTATAATATAATACCTTTAATTAATAATCAACTCGGAGATTTCTCACGGATTTCTGTGTTCGTTATCTTAGTAAAGTTATACTATGGTTTAAATCACTAGTGTTTAATTTAATGACAACAACTCTATAAGCTGAGCAAATTATTATTTTAAGTAGGTTTTTCTATAGAAGTATTTTTTTTTAAACGCCCATAGTAATTATTTAGTTTTTAATGAAAGTTATAAAATCTATTTTTAAGAAAACCAAGAGAGTCGCTTTGCTGTATAGTAGGTTCTAGATGTACTTAATTATTTAATTGGTCACTGAAAATATGCACTACATTTTAATTAAATGATGAATTATTGCATATGAAAAACGATTTTGAGTCCAGATGGTCTATATTATTAAGGATATATTATAATTAATTTATAGAGCTAGGTATTAGATAAACTAGGTAAGTACTTAAAAAAACATTTGATTGCCGCAAAATGAAAAAAAAAACCTTTAAAAACCAATATAATATTAGACATAAAAATACAAATAAGCACCCATCATTGATACTCAATGTATTCATTGCTCCATCCAAAATCTAAAAAATAAAATAGTAACTCCCTATTATCGTTGAGTTAATTAATTTTTAAGGCCACAGTAGGAAGGATGAATATTTTAGAGATTTAATAAAATTGTTTCACAATCCCTAATTTTGATAACAAGATATACCTTTCAAATAACACAAACAACGTCCTTTAGCTTAATTAGGAAGGACCCGGTCATGTTTTGAGTTTCTACATTTCTAATCATAACAATGGATGACAGAGTTTTAGGTTAAATGTACTTTATTTTTACCATTGGGAATTAAGAAGACCGAACTTTTCATTCTTAAAGCTTATTCGGCAATAAACTAATATATATATATATATATATATTATTGGGTTCGTTCCATATAGTTCCATGTTTGTACGATTGTTTGGCAACAATGAGTGATTACTTTTTTAGAGTGGGATATTGTTAATTTAATTTCATATTATAATCATCCGAGACCACATTTTACATAAATTTGTCACTTAGTTGATTATTTAAATACTGTGTCACAGGCAGATCACCATGTTTTAATATTAAATTTAAGAAAATAATAACTGTTATTACTTTATTACATGATTTAGATGTACCCATATAATATAATTATTTATTTTCAATAAATAAAAGTACAATATTGTCTTGAAATTTCTTCAGTATTCTTTTTAAACAACTCTTGATGAAATGTAAATCATAATGCAAGAAAATAAGTCTTTAATTTTTTTTTTTTTTTTGGTGTCTATTTTCAAATTTTAAAAATGCTTCAATTATCAATTTCGAGGTTGGTTTCTGGTGGAAATTGGGATCTTTATGAAAAAAAAACTCTAAGAGATTATCAAAAAATTAGGAAAACCTATATTTAGGTGGTATATCTCAACGGCGATTGGGCCAAAATTATATTATTATTAACTGACAATTATTTTGTTTGTATTAAGAATGTTCAAATAATCATATTCCTGGTAAATAAATTGTAGTTACTATAATAATTTAAAGTTATGACGATATTCGTCAATACGAGTGTCTTAAATTCATACTTGGACAACATTTGATATTCAAACGCATAACAAGGATTTATCTTAACTTTTTTTTCTTAGAAACTTTCCACTTAAATTTATATATTTAATCAATTATTGTCTATTGATATTCAAATGAAAAATAATAATTTTATTCATTTGGTTGTAATTCAAAAAATATTATTCGAAGGGACTAGAAACTTTTTACCATAATGACGTTTATTATTATTTAGTATTTACTATACACTACACGCAAATAAATTCCTAAATATTTAGATAAAATTGAATCTATTTTATTACAAACCTCTTTACACTCTTCTAATGGTAAGTCTTAACCTATTGACTTGTAAGTAACAAATTATCATTGACTTAATATTAGACACATCCATTACAGTTATCTACTCAATGAAAAAGTACTCTTGACACTTCCTATACAGCACAGCCAAAGCGCCTTTCTAGATTTTTTTCTACATATACAATGATACATATAAAATAGTTAACTTGGAAGTTGGAATAAATACAATTATCTTTGTGATAGTTATTACATTTAAAAACACCTGATATTAATGTGTTTCATATTATTTTACATTGTTTTTTTCGAAAGGACTATGAAAGTTGATTTAGTTTACTATAAATGTATATTTCCTTGACGATTTTCTTTTCTCTGATATTACGTTCCTAGCTACAAACTATTTTGATACCTATTATAATATAGTTATGTACGTAACTTAAACAAAATACAACTAAATTGTAGTTGTTCATGCTAATTATATTTTTCTTTAACTCTAAGTTTTATTAATATTCACTTCCTTCGTGTTCGTTATAATTTAAGTATATTTTCTAACTTTAAACCGTTTTAAAATTATAAGGCATTATGTAACTATAGTAACTTAATAACAACAACATGAACAACTATTTATTTATGTTGATCTTATATAATAATTCTTATTTTTAGTTAATATACGAATTTAAGTATACAACCAAACATTGGTTAACCACTTATACAACTTGTCTAGTATTTTTTTTAAAACTATTGTATGAAGCGCATAATATACATAAATACATAATATACACCTTACTAACAGCAAACCGGTAATAGTATAACAACAAATTAATAACTTTAAAAATATTAATTGTTTTGTAAAATAATTTTGTTAAATAATTACCATGGCAACCAATATTTGAGTTATTTTCTGAATTTTAAGATGGATATTGAA